GCAGATGGTGGGCTGCAGTCACAGGGCCTAGACGCCTCCGTCGCAACATCGAAGACGTGACCGAACTGGATCCCCGTTGCTTTTCGGTCACAGACATTGGCCTGCAATGCTGCGTTCGGGTGGGTCCAGTCACCCTCCAACGGCGCTCCCTCAGGTGTGAACCACCGTCACCCTCACCTTCAACGCTCCGACCGCCTGTCGGACGGCGCCCGAAGACCGGCGAACAGCTGAGGTCGTTCCTCGTACTACACCCACTGGGTTCTTTATGCTGCCGGCCAAGCTCTGGCGTGCTTTGGCCCAAACGAGCTTGCCGTTGTGCATGTTTGAGTCCCGCCTTTTTTCTTGAAACCCCCGTTGAGAACGGGAGTATCGTGCGGTGACATCGCCAACGGTTCAAGGTATGCTGTGATCAACGTGATCTTTTGGTATGGCATCCAGGTGATCCAGACCTTCTCGGTGATGCCCGTGTTCTTCCTTCATGCTACTCGGATTTGATCCATCTCGCTTTCGGTGGAGGGCCCTTCGTTCCGTGTGGCAGCTTCTGTTGTGCAACACAGCTGCTGTTCGTACCAAGAGCGGAGCTGCTCCGCTTCTAAACCAGCTGACAGACCAGCTCCGAACAGACCGGCCCGTTCACGAGCCGCTTTTTTACCACGAACATCCGAAAAAGGACGAACAACGAAGAGACTTTGGTCGTTCACATCGCCGTATACCTTCTTTCTTGGCTTGCCGCACGTTCTGCGTTCGTCGGGCAGAACGTGGTGTTCTTCCTGAACTTGGCTTTATTTGGCTTCGTGATGTCCACCTTCATGAGCGCCCCCTTGATGAGCCAGCTCTTCACCATGGCGGGGGGCGGGGGATTCATGGCGGGTCCTCTCATGGATTGTCATGGATCTCACATCGTTGTTTCAGGCATGTATCTCAAGTGAAGCTTTCCAAACTCCCAACTGCCAGCCTCATGAAATGCTCAGCTTTTGGATGACCCCGGTGGGCCTTCATATTCAGAATAGCATTACCTGGTCAGGTCGTGTACTGCTGCAGCTGTGCCTTGGCCTTCATCCCGACCAACGTCAGTGAGTGGATCTTCATGTTCATCCCACAGTTTGCATACAGCAAGGCGGGGCCTGGCAGAACACCAGAGAACACCGACGGACCCAAGAGACAGGCTCTGACGGTCTACATGTCCAATGAGCTCACGAAGTGGGAGGGAACATATGATGCGCCGCTCTTAGAATTCCTTCGAACTCCGACGTATCAGAGAGCCAAACGCCGCACGTTGCGCCCCATGACGCAAAACAGTCAAACGAGGGGAAGCCGGTTTGCCTGAGTCGTGATTCACGACTTTCTGAGGAAGACAGTTACACCTTGATCGGCACTCTTGGATGGTTGCTTTTGGATGCAATCCTGTGGCTGCTTCTTTGGCTTTACCTCGATCAGGCGTGGAATTCTTCCAAGAATCTCGTGTCGTGGAGAGGAGTCGTTTTGGTCTTCGGAAGTGTCTTCGGAGTCTGTGACAGACAGCAGGTGATCCCACATGGCGGTGGAACAACTCAGAAGCCGTGGTTTCCTTGTGACAAAGGATATTGGAAAGGCCAGACCACGCCAGTAAATGTGGCAGGGCACAAGGCCAAGGCCGGCCATTTGCAGATGTGGCAGTTCAGTTTGCCCCATTTCAGGCGAAGATGGAGTAGTTAGACAAGATCCTGGTGCTACCGAGATGGTTGCTACATCCAGCTTTCAACAGGCAAGGTGCGAGCCACATGTTTGTCCCAAATTGAGCCATGTGGATTCCTGTCGAACTACGGACGAAATCCAGTCCTCCGCCGGCTCGAGCCAAGGCACGCGATCCCTGGTTGCTCAACGGCCAAGAGGCGACCGAGGCGGCGGAACCACCGGAGGTGGCGACCGAGGCGACCGTGGTCGACGTGACCCGAACGGTTCGCAGCCCGAACGGTCGACGGGACGCGACGGGTTCCGAACGGGGGGGGGCGGGTGAAGTTCCTGTGCTTTTTGGGTGGAGCGTCCTTGTTACTACTAGTAAGGCACCTGTTACTAGTAGTACGGCACCTGTTACTACTAGCGTGGCACCTGTTACTAAGAAAGGCCGATATATGTTCCAAAAGGTTTCCAAGTTGAAGGCCCTCGATCCAATGATCCGATCGTTTTCATTTCTTGGCCTTCCCTCACCTTCCCCTCCCACAGGCTCCGCCCCATTGGCAGCCGCCTTCCGGTCCGGGCACCGAGAGAGAGTCCACGCTCCGTCGTTGGGTCCGACGCAACGGAGGGGGTCCCGTGAGGTCGCCGCTCCGTGGACGAGGCGTTGTCCATTCAAGGACGCAACTCGTTGATCGAGCCGGTGGCTGCCTGAGAGGGAGAGCGAAATCGGAATCCCATGGTGTGCTCCATGGTGTGCTCCATGGTGTTTCTTAGCGTTTTTGTTGGCTCCTTTAGTGTTTTTTTTTCCTTTTTCGGGTCTTTTCAACGCAGTGAGCACCGTTCGACCTCAGAAAAGCAGCCGGACGATTTGGCGCTTGCAGCACTTCGTTTCGCGGTGGCACCGCAGGTAGACCGGGGGATGGTGGCGCAGATCTTGGCCAAGAATTGCGTCAAGGTGGACGAAGCTTGGCCCAGTGAGGGTGAGGGCATCAGAAACTCAGCGCCGATCACATGAAGCTTGGCCTAAGAATTCAGGGCTCACAAGACGCCCAAGTTTGCTGAGGATCTATGTGTTTACTTCAAGGGGATCTACAATGAAGAGATCAAAGCAGTGGATGGAGTGAATTTCGTGATGCACCTTGATCTCAGTCCATTTTGGTGGATGGTTCGCAGATCCGAAGAACAGTTGCTCTGAGACGACGTCTCAGACCTTTTGGAGGGAAAGAACTTGCGAGCAATGTGCTCGGAGCCCGAAGGTCGTGATTGGGGCACATGACCTTGCTCCTTCGAGACGCAACCAATCTCCCACCCGTTTCCCTAAAGACTCCAGAAAAGACGAACCGGGGCACAAAGACTGCAACGGTGAAATGGACGGAGAAGAAAGACGAAAAACATGCATGAAAGAATCACTGGTGCCTTTCACTCGTGTGAAGTGTTGGTGAAGTGTTCGCCTCTGTCAGTCTTTTTCTGTTCTTTCTTCTAGGTTCCCAGGCGAAATCTTTGCGCTTCTGGGCCACAATGGTGCAGGCCAGTGCCAGTAGGTCAGTGCCAGTTGGAGTACCATGTCGGCCTTTCTCTTCACCACCGCCGCAGGCAAATCCACCACCATGTCGGCCATGGTCGGCTTGACCGCGCCAACCAAAGGTGCCGAACCACTCGGCCGCGTGAAACGTCCCACACGTCCGGCAGGTCCGACCCAGGTGTTTGCGAAGCTCACTGTGTTTGTTGTGTTGTTATTAAAGGAAGAAGCAGAGGTTGTCGGTGGTTTTTCTATTTGGGACCCTTTCTATCCCGTCAGCTGAAAAAGACTCCGGCGACTCCTGTTCAGTCCAAGTTGTGATACGCTTTCTTCAGTCCATGCAGGTGTGATCTCTGCCTTCGGGCGCAAAGTGCCTGAAGATCTGGTTGAAGTGAGGAAGTCCATGGGCTTTTGTCCACAACATGACGTTCTTTTCCCAGCGGCCCTGGCTGAAGATCGAAGCTCCCGCGATGTTGGACGAACACGAGCCTTCCGCGGCCACAAACGGCCCTGCATGCTGAGTAGTAGCTATATAAACCCCTAGCTACCGTACCTGAGCGGAGGGAGCGGCTTAAAAAAAAAGGAAACAAGACAAGTCTGACGGGAGATCTTAACCGATCGCCCGCTGTCCGCGTGCCATCGATGTGCAACCAAGGCGCTCACTGTGGTGCAGCACATCGAACTCTTCTCAGCGTTGGCTGGAAGACAAAAGAGTGCCCTGGTGCGGAGGGCCTCGTAGCAAGATCTCGTTCATTTGCCTTTTTTGTATCGCACCAAAAAGACTAAAATCTAAGACATCCACCCAAAACCTGAGACCATTGATCATGGGTACATGCGAGAACTTGTATACATGTTCCGGCGGGAATGGCCGATCAATACACTCATGCCCCGGCACAACTTCTCGACCAGATTCGCTGCCGATGAACCGATACAACTCACATGTACCTTGCCTCTTTCCGGCTAAAAAGAGCACTTCTTCGAAGTACTTGGAGTCCCCCCGGTAGGGCGAGCTCCACCGGAAAACCGGTTCGATTTCGATTCCACCAGTTCTTCTTCCTCCGGAGACCGAGACCGTCGCGGTTGATGCGCGGGAGAGACGAGGTGACGAAGCGGAAGTCTTTAAGCTGGTCTCGGACATTGGGCTCCACTCCCGCCCCTTGGGACGGAGAACGGGCCGGACGCTACGAACGGAGCGGCATCGCTACGAACGGGGCTCCTGGCCTTACTACTAGGAGCAAGAATTAATTATTATGAATTTGTTTTACAAATTGAACTAAAAGCTACTAGGATCCTAGGACCTTTTCGCGCGCGCGGGCGGGGCGCGCGGGGGGGGTAGGAATAAAGACGCCACGAACGGAACCAAGGGCATCCCTACGAACGGAACAAGGACGGAGAATGGGCCCGAGACAGTGTCGCTTTGTTAAGACGCGCGTGCGCGGTGCGTGTGACGAGCTGCTGTTGGTAGGCTTCTTCTACAGCTGGTTGGCTGTTTGGAGGTTATGGAGTCGGTCCACTGGGTGTGACCGGAAGATGCTGGGTTTGGGATTGGATGGAGCCCTCAGACCGAGCAGCGACCACCACTGCCGCCACTTCCTGCAACAGTGCATCTGACTGCCGGGGTCGGTGTTTGCATTGCATCACCCCGCAACACACAGATTTATTGAACCAAAAACGCCACGTTGTGAGGTGCCCACTATCAAGTGACACAACTCTCGGGCGGCATGAAGCGCAAGCTTTCGGTGGGCTTGGCTTTCTCAGGACGGGCTTTTCTCGTTGTGAGGCGATGATGGGGCGAATGTGGTATACTTGTGGATGGCCGAATGGCCCCGTCCAATGCTCCCAAATCCAGACTGGGCTTGAGGAAAAAAGACCACGCCAAGCAAGAAGCCACCGGTCGCGGCTGACTAGCATCGTTTTTGAATCACACAACGTCCGCTGGACGGCGGATGTCAGCTCACGCTGTCAGGAGAACCGAACCTGGTGATTCTCGATGAGCCGACGAGTGGCATGGATCCCCTCTCTCGCCGCGGGCTGTGGGACTTCCTGAAGCTTCGGCGTGGCGTGGGTCGAAGAAGTGGCGTGGGGCTCTTTGCGTAAGACATCGACGTCTGGAAGTAAGCTATATACTTACTCGCTGATTCAGCCGGTTACAACGATCGATCGGAACTGTATTCACAGGTTCTGTGAAGATTCGGTTCCTTTCTTCCTGCATCTTCCTTCCCTTTTCTTGCGTTGGTCAGCTTGTGGGCGAGTCGCCCAACAACCCCTCAACAACCCCACAACCGGCAGTACCTGCAGCCCGGTTCGGGTAGAGCCGAGCCCTTCCTGAAAAAAATGGGAAGTTCGAATTAACGACAGCGAACTGCCATGATTCCTTGTTAGATGTGTGGTGATTTTTCCCTATAGAATCATCGTGCCAATTTCCACTACCAAATGGGTGGCCTCAAGGCCACTACAAAACAGAAAAACCGGTGCATTTTGTATAAATAGACATTTTGGATGTCCATTGCATTCTTTAGTAACCTGCCGTTGTTTGCACCCCAACCTTGGCAAAACACTTTGTAGAACACTTTGTAGAGGGATGTTGGTGGGCGTTTTGTGGGATGACACTGAACCTCAGGCAATTCTTTTTGTAGAGAGCCGCTTGATCAAAAGAGAGGTTGGGCCTTTCATTTTGCAGAGACTCCCTTGAATATGCAGCCAAATTTTTGGCTTGAAAAGCGAACTCAGGGCATGCTAGATGTACCCGCATAGATCTAAATCCATGAAAGTACAGATGGGACAAAAGAGTTGGCCGCGACTTTTTGTAGTGATTTTTTTTGTGTTTTTTGAGGGACATGTTTGAAGTTGGGCAATTCATTTTGTAGTAACTCTACATCCCATATGATTTATTCAGTTTAGAAGGGTTGGGGCCCTTGATGTTGTAGTGTGCTATAAATCCATAGGTCATTTTGTAGCGCTGTGTTTTTTGCATGCTACTTTCCATTTTGTAGCAAAAGGGGTTGCGCAAACCGTTCGGTACTACAAAATGTATTGTCCAAGGCCACCTGTCAAATTGCAAAGAAGATCCTATAGATACCATCAATGTCCGACAACAATATAGAGGCGTGAAGGTGTATACGAGTTCGCCAACGCTTGACCGACTGCGAGGTCAGGGCCGTGCGATGCTACTCACCACTCATTTCATGGATGAAGCTGGCGTTCTGGGAGATCGCGTGGCCATCATGCGGGCAGGCGCACGGATGGCGGCGCTTTGGGTTTCATATGGTTTCAATCAGGTGAAACATCCATCAGGGCTTCTATGGGCTTCTGGAAGTTTTGAAGACTCCAGGTGCTTCCTCCTTCGCGATCCGTGTCGAACACAGAAAACACAAACTGGCAATTTCCTCTATTTGGAGGGATTCGGTTGGTGGGGTGCTGAAGCTTCCAAGTCGCGGGGATGATATTTTTGTTTGGCCGATTGTCTCGAGGCACCGTCCAAGCGTGCGGCACCGCGGACTTTCTGAAGCGTCGCTTTGGATGTGGCTACGTGCTGACCATTGCCACTGGGACGTTCTTTTGTCCGTCCGACTCCCCCACGGGAAGCGTTGTCCATGGCCTCGGTGGGTCGGTGTCGTATCGTTTGCGGGGGGTCGTTTTCGCCCACACCGGAGTTCGGAAGGCCCAGTGAACGGAATTCTTAGAGATCAAACGGAGATAAACACATACATAACTTACACAACATCTTCCTGGACTCCTTTCTGGTGCTCGAGGTGATGGAAGAAAGAAGCAGTAGCCATGAGCCAGTGCGACAGCTCTTGGGATCCATCCTGGGGCATACACTGGAGATCTCAGGCGGGATCGGACCTTGAGGTTAGGCAAGGTGGGTATAGGGTCAACTATAGGACTAGAGGCTCTGAGGTCAACTATGGTCAACTCAACCACATGCTGATGTTCTAATAGGTTCTATGCCCTATACTACTTATTCCGATGCAATTGACTAATGGCTTTAGGCTGATTCAGGTTCCGTGTTTGTAGATGTTTGTTGCATGTTGTCTCTTCTCAGTGTCTTCCTTTTTTTCACGAGAAGTAGCAGAAACACTGTATGTTTGATGAGGTGTGGGCAAGGAGATCTTGGCAAACATCCCGATGGAATGTGAGAGCCAGCTCTCCTCTTGCTTGGCTGCTTTGTCGGAGAAGAAGGCCGAGTCCATGTGCATTGGGAGGGGTGGGGTGTCGATCTTCAAAAAGCCAAGACCGTCATCTTGCGACGGCTGAAGCATGCGACAAGAGGATGGCAAGATGGGAGAGCGAGTTCACTACTGTGCCGACTGCTTTCTCAAGTGCCATGGGACGGCCTCACATGAGTCACCGGAATCGAACACCAACACAGGGATGCCCATGGTACTCCTTTCTTCCACACACACCACATCACCCAAACCGACCCACCCGGAGCCCGACCTGGTCCAACCCTCCAGGTCGAGCTGTCGCTGGCGACCTTTGGAGTCTCCGTCTCCAATCTCGAAGAGGTCCGGGACGCGACCGGGCGTCGGTTCCGGGTGGACACGAGCGGGGTGAAGACATGCAGAGAATGGAAGAAGAGAAAGACGCCAACGCAGGGCACCCACCCTCCGAATCCATCGGTCTTGGGGATATTTGGAACCATTGGCCCTCCCATATCAAAACCACCATGACATTATGGGACACCACCGCGTGTGGTTCCTGAAATGGTAGTGTGTGCCAAGTGGAAGCAGGGAGCCAAAGAAGGCTCGCAGGCTTGCGGGACAAGAAGATTCACTGCACTGGTTCGTGCACTGGAACATTCGATCGTTTCGCCAACTGATTTGCGCAGACGTCGGTCGCCACGGTCCTCCGCTGACGATGTTTAACCGTTTGGGCCGCGAAGGTTCGAAGGCTCTCTATCACGGCATTGGGACCACCGAACACAGAAATCAGTCCATGTGGTCCAAGTGGATGGGACATACTGGTCCGAACGAAGCCAAAAGGAATTGGACAAAGAGAGAGAGAGAGAGAGAATGCGTTCGTTCTGTGTTATGTTTTTTGTGAGTGTAATCGCCGCCACTGTCTGTCCTAAGGTGTTTCTGAAAGTGGCGAGTGGTGATCATGCAAGCAAGCAGGACCAGAAAGAAGCAGACGCTTGGCTGCAAGATCTACAACATGGCATAACATGGCCCAAGATCATGGAAGACCTGGTTCAGGATCGACATGGAGCGACAACTTTCACCAGTTCGACGACCGAATCCAGCATTACGATCATTTCACCATAGTTCACCACTAGTTCTGGCGATCCATCGGAAGCCCGCCCAAAAAGAGTCACAAACTGACCGCCCCTTGACGTCACTCCCGAGCGCTTTGGGTGAGGAGACTTCCTTCCAAGCAGCCATGGAAGAGGTGGAGGCGCAAGCTCCGCAAGGGCCCTGCTTCGTGATGCCCAACCCAGGTCGCACGGCCGCACGACCGTGTGCAACGGTCGGTCGACCCCACGGGACGGACTCGGCGGGTGTGCTGCCTGCTGCTGTTCGGCCGAGGTGGCACGGTGATGCAACAAATGCGCGGGCTGTTGGAGCGACGTGGGTCCACGGCGATTCGAGACATGAAGACGTTCAACATGGGTTGCTTGGCACCAGTCACTTGGAGCCAAGTGGATAGCTGAGACTGCGAATATCTGCGAATGAAGGTTTCATGTTCGAAAACGCGCGTCTTCCTTGGATCTGTCAGCCTGCACCACAGCTAAGCGCTTAGCAGCATGCCGCAGCAAATTCACTGCGTGATGCATCCCTTTTTGAGGTCTTGATGTTGGTCTTTGCCACCTGGATTGGCGCCAAGATTGTGAGGGACAACAAACCTCTAGGAGCGCCAGGCCAGCACCGCGGTTTTGCACGAGCCAGATTCGATGAATGGGAGAGCTATAGGCACTGTTCACGGATCTTTCCAATCTCCCAAATGATCTAAAGGCAATGTTTGTGTGTTCGAGCCTACTTCAGGAAGAGGATAATACTGAGACTTAGTCAATGAGGCCACTGCTATTTGGTGCCATTGCTATTAGGTTGGAGGCCGTCGCTTCTAGGTTGGAGGCCATTCCTATTAGGTTAGAGGCCATCGCTTCTAGGTTGCAGGCCATTGCTATTAGGTTGGAGGTTATACCAATGAGGTCTTTGAGGTGATTATTTTCTCAGATCCACATCGCTTCGCCTCAGTCGTAAGACAGACGCCATCGCCCAGGTGCACCAGTTCCAATAGAGCTGAGCAATTTGAAGGCAACATTTGCAAGCACAGAGGGTGGCATGGAATCTTGGTGAAAACCATGGCCGTTGCGTTTTGTTGTTGGTGTGTTTGTTTTTGATATTTTTGATCTAGAACATTTTTCTAGTTATATATATAGTTACATAAACATGTAACATGTTCTATAAATTGCACGCCAACATATTATAGTGTTATTAGGCTTTTTTATCTCACGACATGCGGTCTATTGAAAAAGGATGAAAAAAGTAAAGATGTAAAGATCTACACCAAATCATAAGTGCGTGTGTGTGTGTGTGTCACACCCTATATCCAAGGTATCCAAGGGTTTTTCTCCATCTCTTTTTGTTTCTCCCAAATTGCAAGCAGGGGGGTGTTGCGCGGTCTTGGGGTCACCACGCAACGAAGACACACCTTGTACCGTGGTGATATCCGGAAGTGACGCCTTCTGGACGCACCTGCCTTTGTGACAACACTCCAATTTTCCCACGCTGTTTGTTGTTTCCATGGTCCTTTGCATGGTATCCCCCCCAAACCTGTTCCCAACAGCTTCACCCTTTTGAGCGCCACCGCCGTTTTGCAGCCGAGTGTTTGCGCGAGAATTCCAACAAGTTTTCAAACACTTTCAAGTGCTTTGCGGTCTCAGTCGCCGTGAAGCTGTATTGAAACAATACTCCTTTCCGCACGGTGCCTCTTTCGATCAGCGAATTGGTTTGCACTGACGGACCAAGGACGGCGTGGATCTCATCAAGGAGAGTACCAAGCCACCCGGCACGAACCGGAAGGTCAACTCAGCCAAAATCAAGCATTTCAAATTCAAAAGATAACGTCCTCAAAACTAGACCTGTTTCGTTTTATCGTCATTTTGCCCTCCTCCTCTGACAGGACGAATTACAAGTGCTTCACCGGCGACTACAGCGGCTGGACTCCGCAGACGTGTGACGTGTGGCTGAGCTGAATTGATAGGAACAAGTGCCACGCTAGTAGTAACAGGTGCCTTACTAGTAGTAACAAGGAAGCTGGTAGAAACAAGTGCATCGCTACTAGTAACAAGTGCCTTACTAGTAGTAACAAGAATGCTAGTAGTAACAAGTGCCTTACAAGTGAGCCAGTGGATGGGCATAAGGTGTTTAAGGGAAAATCTGGAAACTATGAGTTTCAGCCTTCGGAATCAAGGGCTGCGCCACCAAAAGAGGTCCGATTCACAGTGGTGGTCCACCCAGAGGGGGGAAGTACCCGCGCTTGTTTTTTTGTTTTCATGCTGCTCATACAGCGTAAGCTGATTCAATTTGTGGGGTGCAGAAAGTCTTCAGTCCTCGTGCTTTCGTGATGTTTCGAACCCGATTTTCAGTGCAGGGAAGTGTTTTTTCTTCGATGTTAGCAATACTACTGCGAGCTCTCCCCTTGAAATCTCTTGAATGGCATGTCGACGCTCTTCGTTGGGCATTTGCAGCATGCTAGCTCTAAGTTGTTCCAAGGGACTCCGAAGCAGATCGATTGACCAACATTCCGTATGGCTACCTTGAGCAGTGCAAGCCATTCTGCTGCAGTGGAGGCGGTTAATGTGATTTCAAAAAAAATCGCATCTGAATGCAAAAGAAGGCCCGGTCTTGGGTTTGTTCCTTTTATTTTTGCTGGACAACAAGGACAACTTGTTTGAATTTGAGTCGAGTCAGAAGCACCAGTTTCAACCGTCATTTTTGGTTTGGGAGAGACTGAGATGGAGTATCAAGCGTTTGGACTTCGTCACTGGCCCTTCAGCGTGCACATGATGTACACTGGAGGTCTGAGAAAATCTCACGATCAACCAATTTGTCATGAGGTCCAAGTATAAGTACTTGGAGCTCGACTGCAAGAAACGTTGGCTCCGCCACCTCCTCGCCTTCGACGAGCTCCTGCTCTTTGGCTCGGTAAGTACTACGGCCATGAGGTGTGGTTTAGTTTTGGACACGACCCCATGGGTGTGGGCCACTCATGCCCCAAATCCAGTTGTG